AATATGATTTATAGACATTTAGTGACTATAAAAAACTAGCCCTTATATAATAAAATATTCTTATATGCTCATTACTCATTTAAAATTGTTGGGATCCCTCCTTAATTAGAGAGGTTCTAGAAAATTCTAGAGCTTTCTAGAGAGGTTAGAATTTTCTAGAAAGTTCCGGAGAATCCTAGAGAAGTCTAGAACTCTCTAGAAGTTTGTGGAATAGTGTGGAATCCTCTAGAATATTCTAGAGATGTGTGGAACCTTCCGGAAGCTTATGGAAGAGTATGGAAGGATATGGAATAGAGTGGAAGAGTATAGAGCCTCCTAGAGTGTGTGGAGCATTCTAGAGAATCAATATCCACCCTTGGATAGAAATCATCCACACCATTCATTGTGAAGGTGGAGTAGTATAAATAGGAGGAGAGGTCTCCATTCCTAACTATCCTACCAAGAGAGAATCCACTTCTTAGAGTGAGGAAGTTAGAGAGTCTCTTTGAGAGAAGAGAGAGATAGCTTGGGAAGTTCATATCCTCAAGCTTGAGTGAGCCACCATTGAGTGAGACAATTTTGTAACATCCTTGTAAATCCTATTCTTTGGTATAGTGGAAGAATCTCCATATTGGAGAATTTAAATCGTGTGCTCCCATCGCTACCTAATTTCCTAAGTTCCTATCTTAACTTCACGAAACGGGAAAGTCCGGAGAGTTTTTCCCAACAAAAATTACGCGCCGTTTGATGGCCCTATTTTTGGAGGTTTATTGAGCAACATTTCTATTTTCCGGCCTTTATACGGATTGTTTGGTATTAAATAAATAAATAATTCACAATATATAATAAAATAAGATTAATTAACTGTTACTTACTATAATCATATTTAAAGTTATATAAAAAGCTCATTTTTTCTTGACATAAATAAATGTCAACTGTTTTCCATATACTACCACTGTTCTTAAATAGTTGTAACATTTTATAGGTTTATAATATTCACATATTTTACTTTGATTATATTTTATTTGTTAATGTATTGAAAATATATTTTTTGATCCTTATGAGTTTAAAATATGAATACTCCATTAATATTAAATTCTATTTTGTCATAAATCCAGTAGCTAACATACATCTTTCGTAAACATTTTATTTTCTATTACAAATGATATTACAAAATATATTTTATTTCACTCCATCCGTCCCATTTTATGATACTCTTTATATCAAACTTACTTTTTTTTATAATAGTTTTTTGTTGTTTAGTATATATAACAAGATATTACCAATTTAGTTAGATAAAATGAAATATCCCATATTATTCACAATTAGGAGAGTTGCGAAGTTTATAATTGGAAAAGGGAGATGGAGCCGTACGTGAAGCTTGCTCCATGTGTTCTAGAAAGTAGAATGGCTAGAACGCAGATTAATCACTTGATTCACTTCACATGCAAATGTGATAAATATAATTAGAACCATATTCTAAGTCTACTATTAGATAGATAAATATGTCAATTCTACTATTATTTTTGTCTGGTTTGATTTGTCGGTCCGTTAAGATAATGTCAATGTTGAATTAATGCTAATGTTGGAAGATATCTCCCATAATGTAGATATTTTAGGATAAGAATATAAGCTTGCTAATAATTGAGCGTAAGAAATTTATCTATCATATGCAGTGCGTTTAGGTATTAGAAGATAAATTTGCTAACAATTGAGCAGAGAATTGAGCGGGATGATTTTCTATCTCATACGCGGTGCTTTTAGGTATTAGAAGAAAAGCTTGCTAACAATTGAGCATGATAATTTTCTCTCTTGTATGTAGTTTTTTTAGGTATACAATAAGTCGACTAACAATTGAGCGGGATAATTTGTTGTCTCATATGTAGTGCTTTTAAGTATATAAGAAGATAAGAAGATAAGCATGGAAAATTGCTAATAATTGAGTTGAATAATTTAATCTATCATATGTAGTGTTTTTAAGTATAAGATATGTAATCCGGCCAACAATACAACGTGATAATTTTCTCTCATATATATATATATATATATATATATATATATGTAGTTGTTTTAAGTACAAGACAAGTCGGCTAATGATTAAGCTATAGAGTTATCTCTCTCATGCGTAGTGTTTTTAGGTCTAAGATAAGTCGGCTAAAAACTCAGCGGGGGGGATTTTCTTTCTCATATGTAGTGTTTTTAGATATTATTATTATTATAGAAGATAAGCTTGCTAACAATTGAGTGGGAAAACTTTCTCACTCATATGTAGTTCTTTTAAGTATAAGATAAGATAAGTCGACTAACAATTAAGCAAACGAATTTAATTATCTCTCTCATATGTAGTGTTATTAGGTATTACTGTATCAGATAAACCGACTAACAATTGAGCGGAAGAATTTTCTCTCTCATATGTAGTGGTTTTAGGAATACGAAGATACGCTTGCTAATAATTGATTGGGAGAAACTTCTCTGTCATATGTAGTGCTTTTAGGTATTAGAAGATAAGCTTGCTAACAAATGAGCAAAGGAATTGAGTGGGATAATTTTCTATCTCATATGAAGTGTTTTTAGGTATTAGAAGATAAGCTTGCTAACAATTGAGCTAGGAAATTGAGCGGAATAATTTTCTCATATGTAATGCTTTTAGGTATTAGAAGATAAACTTGCTAACAATTGAGCGCGATAATTTTTTTCCCTCACCTTTAGTTGTCTCTTATATGTTTCCATCATTTGCAATGGAGCCTAAGATCCATTATTATTTTTGCTTGAGATTATGATGGAATAAAACAAAATGACTCATAAACTGTTTGCGCTACTTTGTTATGAAGCAGCAGGCAGTCCATGCAATTTTGGGCGCGATCTTCACTATGGGTCATCCGGAAACAGCCTCTTTGTGCTTTAGTACAGGGATAAGACTGTGTACATCCGACCTCCCCTTACCCCACCGTAGGTGGGAGCCTTTGCGTCAATGGGTAAACGAAAATGAAAATGAAATGACCTTTAGTTGTCTCTCATATGTTAGCATTAATTTAACTAATGATTGGCAAGTTCGTATTTAACTAATACGGAGTATTCATTAATTTTAATATTCATTTTATTCACTCAAACTTTAAGTCATTCACTTATTGTACTTACTTTTTCAGAATTGCATTTAATTTCAAAATTAATTAATCATGAAAATTAATAGGTAGCAAACTCTAATGAGTGTTGTCAATTAATTTTCCCTAATATACAGTTCTTTGAATATTTATGGAATGGCTTATACTTTATGATACTACTATTAACTTGTTGTACTCTTTTTCTAAAATCTAAAATCCAAAAAAATTATTTTGATTTTAATATTTAATTAGATCATGAATAAAACTATATGCACCAACTACTGTTTCATGTGCGTATGCATGGGTACTATAATAGTTTATCTTGAGAATGTTTGTCTTTAGCATTAAGTACAATATCATATATTCAAAACCTTTTAGACCAAAAGATGATTAGAAGATTTAAAGATATATCTTTTCGATCAATTAGTTTTGATAAAGAGACGTATTTTTTATAGACCTTGTTTGACAATCAACTGTAAGTTGTTAGCTGGATATGACGGTGATTGACAATAGCCGGTTGTGTTGGCTGCTTTAGTTGGCTGATTATGTTACCTTGTTGTCAACAACTGTTTGGTAAATTAGCTGATTAAAAATAGTTGTTTGAGCGTAAAAAGACATATAAGGACATTAATTTACGGAGTATTTATTATTTTAGCTACTGCATGTAAAACAATTTTACCTACAATTACTTTTACATGACAAATCATTCATATTTTAGAAATTCTATAAATTGATAAATACAACTAAATTAATCAGACACTTCATTGTTAGCAAAGGATGATTTCATGCAATGTCAGCACAAAAATATTTGTACTATTTGAACAAAGTAAACCAGACTTGTACAATTAAAATCAAGAAACAAACATATCACTGCTATCAAAATAGAAAAGCTGGAATCACGAGTTATTGACTTCTTATAAAATTCTTATACAATTCTTATTATGGGTGATTTGTGCTCTTTCCAAGGTCTTGGGATGGTGAACGTAGATCACTGGGAAACCTTTCCAATCATTGTTTGTATATGTGATTATATTATATATAATGATATGTAGAGTTGCAACTAACATTCATTAAGTTCTCTTAACAGCAAGGCTATTAAAAGTCCGGGGGGGGGGGCACATGACCCAAATTTTGGATATGATGCAATGAACAGAGGAAGAAGATGGAACGAACAGAGTGGGCAACTTTGGAACTAAGGGGGTGTTTGGATCTGATTCTCAAAACTGATTCTGCTCCGTCATGGAGCAGAAACAGAAGCTGGAGTGTTTGGGTGAAATTCCAGAAGCACTTCTGGTGCTCTAATTTACTCTCAGAATCAGTTTTTTAGAAGCTGGTAGGTACCAGCTTCTGAAAATTGATTCTGATTCTGCTTCTGCTTTAAAAAAGAAGCAGAAGCAGAATCAGTTCCAAACACCCCATAACATAGAAAAAAGGAGACACACAATGAAAGAAAAGGTAGATATTAACTGGAGGAGGCTGCGTTAATTGCAAGGGCATAAAACGGAAAAATGGAAAAGCTGCATATCCCAGCGTTTCAAGATTCAGCTTTTTGAATCAAACAAACCAAGCCAACCATCTATTTGCCAAACACTAATTTTAGCTGATTGCATAGTCAAAATCATTAACTATGGTCAAAGAAGCTATTTTTTGCTGCCATTTACCAAACAAGGCCTAGGACCACAGTTTGCAAGATTTAGTAGTATTTGGGCAGTAATTAAGCACGGCCATAGTCTTGTAGGGCAGCAAAAAATGACAAGGTGATAGGCCTGCAGAACCAGCAAGCATTTACTCCGTATGAGTTAACACTAATGGACCCAACATTTGTTCCATTTGTTACCAAACTTTCGATTGATCAATTGTCAATTGGTTAATAATTATGACACAAACTGTTACCAATCAGAGAGAATGAGAATAAGGAATAAGGTACAGTAGTTCATCATTGTTGAAACTGGTAAGTGTCAATTAAGATAGATAAGTGTCTTTCCAATCATTTAAAAGGTAGTACTAATTAACGTAGAATACACCCTAACTCCTAAGGAGTTCAAATTCAAATATACTGCATGCATTGTGTAGATGCTCAAAAAGAAACAGTACAAACAATACCTAAAGGCATGCAACTCCAGCAAAATAAGAGAAATCAACCCCAGGGATCTTGAACTTCTGTTGGTTCTTGCGGTTAATGCTTAAGAATTTCATTTTGATAGGCTCATTGAGGGATTGGATGGGTGGCACTCGAGCAGCCAGTACCTCAAGTGAAAAGGTTGATACAAGAAGATAAAAGTCACCTGTTTTGAATTCCCAAGCAGTGAGCAGGCCCAAGTAGTCTCCGTTCCCCATCTCAACAAATGTGCAGCCCATATCCTCCCCTCCCAATCCTTTCAAGTTGAAGATGCCGTGCACATTTTGATAACAGGAGCATCCTTTTCCTTGCGTGAAAAGCTCAGCTCGGAATTTTGGAGAGTGCACATTTAGGAATCCAAAAACAACATACGTGTCATCATCTAAACCAGGAGCTGAGACAACACACTTTGGTGAGCCCATACACCTATGATTTCCCACAAAAAAACAGTCATCCTTGGACCATTCCTCTGTCTTGAAATCGAAAACATAAAACCTCTCGCCTTTACCATTCACGGCAGTCAAGTAGAGCTTCTCCCCTATTCGATGGAACTCATGCACGATATGCCCTCCATAGGCCCAGGCATCATACAAAAAGGGTACACCTGATTTCACAACCCAACCCTTTTCTGGAAAAGCAGAATCGAAACACTCAAAAGCTCTAGTTGAGTATCCCCCATTCAACTCGTCCAAATTGATAGCAGGGCCCCTGTGCAGTACAAATATCTTGCTTCCAAACTTTTGGACAATTGGATTTAACTTCCCCTCGTTCATCTTTGGCATGATTCTCGAAGGAACTATGGACACGGAATTGGAATGCTGTTTCACCTCATGGATTCCTCTGGAAAAGGAATCACGGAATGGAGGCCCCCAACCCCATCGGTCATACTTTTGACCGCCCACCAAGAAAATCTTGGACTCCAATTCCAGCATACCCATGCACTCATTTGGTAGCTTCGTCACCGAACAATATGATTCAACGGCATTTTCGATGTTCTTTATCACAAACAGATGCTCTAGTGATAGAACAAACAGAGTCCTTCCCGGGCGATCGACCTTCTGTCTCTTCATACTTCGGCCTTGTCTAGCCCGTCTGGTTTCATGTGTCCTCATCATTCCTATTACCGGACAGCCGATCCGATTAGACGCCGCAAGTTGAAGTTGAAGAGGGGGCCGATCGTTGAGCTCGCTTAGGGTTGGAATCTGTCGTCGATGGGATTGCTTCATGCAACCATCAAAAGTGCACCCATGATTAAGTAGGGCACGCGTTTCGAACAGAAATATGAAAAATACCAAACGGCCATGCAAAAAACTGAACGAATTAGATTGAAAATGGGACCCGAAAATTAGAACTCGATAAAAAAAAAACAGTTTAAAATCTATTTATATACTATCTAATAAAGGAAAAATTGACAAACATAAACTTATCTTTTATTGGTCTTTTTCATAGTAACTCACATCTCGCATCTACGTTATTCCAGAATAATCTAATTTTTGCATCACCACATCTTCTTTTGTTGGACCCAAACCAGTTGATAACCTACTACTACCTCCGTCCCACTAAGATTGGAACAATTCAATTTACGATGCTTGATTGACTATAAAGCAAATAAATTTATGTCCATTCTCAAATTATTTTTAGGAAAAAAAATTATAAAATAATTTGTGTTGACCAGGTGAATAATGTCTGGGATCAGGGTCTGCGCAATTGGGGGTCGGCGATTGAATCGCTCGACGTTTTATTCTTCTGGCCACGGCTATTGGGATCGCCGCTATCTCATAGGGTGCGATTTCTAGGCAATCGTTGGGGCTAGGTTTAATTTTCTTCACGTTTTTCTTGCTCGAAGGTGTAGGGGTTTGCTAACAAAGATTGCCAAGAAAGTTTGAGGAGTTTCAGATACGGAAGAGTTGCACGATTTAACCCTAGAAGACTTTTATAGGGGTGTGTTTGGGGGACTGCTTCGGTACGCGCGATTGGTGTTATGAAAATGATATTATTTGTGTTATGGAGGAAGGACCGTGTACCTTCGATCAAAATCTTATTGTGCTTGCTAGGTTAAAGCAAGGTGATTTGCCGCTGAAGGTACCGTTGAATAGGGCTGACTTCTGGTTACAGGTTCATGATGTGCCAATGGGTTTCTTTTCTGTGGAAAATGCTATTAAAATTGGGAGATTTGTAGGGAAGTTTATTAAGGTGGACGAGCAAAACTTCTCTGTTGAATGGAACCCATATGTGAGGATTAGGGTTAGTATTGACTTGAACAAGCCGTTGAAGAGGAAACTTATTCTTCAATCTGACGAAGGGGAAAGTTTCTGTGTTAAGTTCAGGTATGAAAAATTAACTAGTTTTTGTTTTGCTTGTGGAGTCATTGGTCATACAGAACGTTCTTGCCCGCGTTACCCTGATGGTAAAGGAAAAAGTGGGGGACTCCATTATGGACCTGAATTGAGAGCTTCAAAAGGAAACACAGCTGTGGGAGGCAACAAGTGGCTAGTCGCGATTGGCAAAGGGAAAGGAAAAAGGAGAGGAGGAGGGAACAGGGATGTCAAGCTCGAATGCAGAGGGAAAACAACAGCAGGGATCGGACCATGCTTATAATAAAGTTAAGGTTGATCAAAAGCATGGACGGGTAGATCACGAGACTCAGGAAATTGCACAAAAGGATATGGACATGGAGACGGGCTCACCAAAACACGGGAAGGGGGCGGGCTTCAATGCCCGCCTGTCAGGCATCTAGAAGATGCCCCGGGAGCAACACAAGGGATGGATGTTTACAAACTCCATCACCTGGACTTTTATTTTTGCTGTTTTATTTCTATTGTTCCAAACTCAGTTGCTTGTTTTTTTTGTTATTTTTGCTTACAATAAGGGAGTGGCAGTCGTGGTTGTTTTTCCTTTGAGTAGGTTTTATGTTGATGGAGGCAATCAGGCTGTTGCAGCCGCTAATAGCCACTTAGCTCTCACCGTTTCAACGATTAGTCTCGCTCTTTTTAGGGTGAACTATTCTATGCGTGGACATGACGTGAGAGGGCTGATAGGCTTATGGTATTGTGGGTCTACTGGAAGTTGTTGGTTTGGTGTCTTGATTGATGTAATGGCTCTTTTGATTCAAATATAAGCATTTTCATTTAAAAAAAAGTGTCTGGGACAATATTAGCGGGAAGGAGAGAGTATATCGGATTTTAAAAAACATGACTAGTTATTAGAGTAGTAATGAAATCATAGTAATTCATGTTCAAGTTTTGAACTTAAGTTACCACAACACTACGTTATAGTAATGAATAGTCATATTTATGTAAATAAGTATTATTCTAGTAATATTTTTGTAAAAACCCCTTCTTTGAAATCTTAAATAAATAATCCCACATTTCAAAAATCTGCTCAAAAGGGTCTCATGTTTCATTTTTCTTTTCTCTCCATAATTGTTTTCCTTAGACACTTGTTATTCCTTTTTCTATCCTCGTGTTCTTATTTCTTTTCCATTTTTATTATTCTATTTCTCACTCCATTGAAAGAGTTTTTTTTATAAAAAAAATCTCCAAGAAAGCTTTTTTTGTCGTTTTCTTTTTGTTCCCGTTTTTTTATTTCATTTGCTACGTTTTCTTCTTAATCATTCTCTTTTTATTAAATATCTTTTCCCCATTCTACTTTTTGTTATATTTGTATTTTCACCTTTCCCCTTTTTTCTTCGTGTTAGTTTATTTATTTTTTCTAGCTTCTTTCTTCTTATTTTTTCTTCTTGTCATCTGAATTCCACCATAGATATGTTTTTTCTCATTCAGTACCGTATTTTTTTTTACTCCGGGGGGTCTGGGGGGGAGGCTAGGGGAAGCCTAGAGTAATCAGGGTTGAAACTCACTTCATTGAGTTTCAAACCCTTACGTGTCTAGCGGGTTTCGAACTCGAGACCTCTCACTAGGTACGGTAACCTCACAACCAGCTGAGCTGGAATGCTTGGTTTACATTCACAACCCTTTAGTATCATATTTTTCTAAGTGAATTCACCAATTAATTTCACCAATATAATTGTGGGTAAAAACACTATGTGAATCAATATAATTGTGGGTAAAACACTATGTGATAAAAAGATCATGGAAAAATAAAACATTTGGGAAATGCAAAGAAAAATAAAACATTCGGGAAAATGTAATTTTTTCCTTCTTTCATTTTCGCGAATGTTTTGTTTTTCTTTTAGCTTAATTTTTCCCTAACCTTTTTGTCACATAGTTGATGGAATTAAGGGGTGGAGTTACTTAGAAAAATACATAATGCATAAAGAAGAAAAAATATATTGATTGTGGAATTAAGATAACAAGAAAGGAGAAAAACGTTAAAAAAAAAGGTAACAAGAAGAAAAAAAGGAAAGTGAAAATAAAAACAAAATATAACAAAAAGTGGAGTGGAAAAAAGATCTTTTGTTATGGGAAAAAGATTTTTAATAAGAAGGGAATGATTAAAAAGATAAACATAAAAAGTGAATCATCATCATATCATAAACAACAGAAACATTTTTTACAATCAAAGTGACATATTTCACAGCGGTAGTGTGGCCGTAATTGGTAGTGACATAATAAACTGGCAATAGGGCTGGATTCGGGCCGGGTCAGGTTCGGACCGGGGCTAGGCCCGGGCGGGCCGCCGGGTCTGAATAGGTGGGCCCGGGACCGGACCGGGTAGCCACCGGGTCCGGGCCGGGCCGAGCCGGGCCTCAGGTCAATTTTCTGAATAGGTAATTTTCCTAATTACCTCCCCCCCCACTCACCCCCAACCCCCAAACCACCCCAAATGGCCCAAAATACCCAGCCCAACCCGAAAAGTTAAAAAAATTGAAAAAAAAAATCCCGAAACCAGACCCGAACCGGCCCGGGCGGTTCGGCTTTTGGGTGACCCGAGCCCGCACCAGGAACCCCCCGGGCCAGTCCGGGCCTACCCGGATCGGTCACTGGCCGGGCCAGACCGGTTCAGCACAGTAGCGGTCCCGGGCCGGTTCCGGGTCGGGCCACCCGGCCTGAGTTCAGGACTAACTGGCAATGACATAGATACACTTCATTGACATAGTAAACTTGTGATGATTTAAGTAGTTTTCTAACTTTATTACTTTGTTAGTTGCATTTTATCCACATGTTATAGTTACTATTTTCAAATTGGGCAATCTAATACTACGTATTAAGTTTTCACAAGATTTGAGTGATTGAGTCCTATTTTAGAAACAAAATAGTGATGCTACTATTTTATAAATTAAATGCATTATGTTTTGATCATTTATAGGAAATGCTCTCTTTTTTTAAATATATTTGATCCACTTAATTGAGGCATCTTAAATTTTAAATATGTTTTTAGCTATTGTAAGTTCAGTTAGTTCCTATGGCAGTATTTTGGTTTTACTTTGTTATTGTTTGGCCTTCACATCCATATAATGTTGTAATAATATGATTTGTGTATGTTTTTAGCTCAAATTTTGGATGGATATTTCTTATTGTGAGTATATTTAGAGTTGTCTTACATATAGCATAGGTGTAGAAGGTTTTGAATTGGATAGATTTTAGTCACATATCATATCAGACCGGAAGAGATATCAATGAAAGTAAAATACGCATAAAAAAGATATCTACCAAATTAGTTCAATTGAAAACACATCAGACCATATCAAAAAAATTGGTACATGTTTGATTGGCCTAAGTTACTACCTTGTACATAATTTTTTAAATTATTCATTGTTTGTAACTCTAAATTGTATGTTTGGTATAATAGTTTTTTTTGAAGGTTAAAATAGTTTTTGAAATCTACACTCATTTCACAAAATTGATGTTTCTATAAAACTTATAATCCTCAATGAGGGTTAGGGCATTTTAGAGATGAAAATTGTGTTGGTGTAATCACTTGCTTTATTAGGTGGTACATTGTGCTTGAGCGTATGTACTCTTTTACAAGGAACTAAATTTTCCGTTTAATTTTCATTACTAGCTCCCGTCTATTGCACCTAAATCGTTTCGTAAACCGTTTCGTACACCTCCCACTGCTTTCGAATCTCTACAGCACCTAATCCTGGTTTCGGGCACAGAAGGTCTCATCCGCGCGCTAAACACACCGCGCTAGCTCTCATCGTTTCCCTCTTCTTGGGCCAACTATCCAGGTTTGTTTCCATGCCGTTTGTCCGAATTTTTTCACTTATGGTCATCTCCTTCCTCATTAATACTCCATATTATGGAATGAAATATGTACCGGAGTATTATCTATAAAACTTATAATCCTCAATGAGGGTTAGGGCATTTTAGAGATGAAAATTGT